TTGAGTAACAAATTAGGTGATTCGTATATCGATAGATCGAACGTTTCCAGACCTAGACCAGCGATGCCTTCTAAACTAACATCAGTGTAATTTGCGGGTGGGTTTTTGAGCGGGAAAAATGACACTGTAGTTACATGGTGACCCCTCTCTGCTAGCCTACGTAGTAAAGGTTCGAAGACCATCTGATGACTTTTGCCCGTATGAGGGAATAAACCGAGGATTCTAGCGGCTTGGACGTTCGTTATTAGGATCGCAACGACCGCGAGTATAAAGCGGGTACCCATCGCGCAAGTTTCTCGCGCCGCGTCGCACTGTGGACTGTCGTGCAGTCCACAGCTGCAGCGCTTAACAAATACTATTTTCAGTGTTTCACACGACGCTCCCTCGTGACAGTATAATGAGAACGTCGAACAATACGAGTGTCCATTAAGTTTATACTTCCTCCTAAGTATCGGCTATCGGCAGATAATTGCGTTAGTCACATGAGAGTTGGACGTTACTGTGAATGTAGTCCAAGCAAATGTATACATTCTGTGTGCATGTATAGTAGTCAATATCAGACTAGACAGAACAAAAACTGTAAAAAAAACATATTTTTAAAGGATGCACAAGGTTCTTAGGTATATCATTAAGAGATTCAAATATTTCATGCTTAAATGTCTTTGGTATGTCTGTATATAATTTAAAAAAAAAACTTTACTTTTTCTCCAGCAACATTAAGGGTTAATGCTCATTGACAGGTTTTGAATATTTAACTTCTACTTGCCTTAAGTCTAATTAGACCTCAAGTAAAGAAAGTAATACAATCTTTTCCGTGTTCTTATAATCCGTCCTTAAGATCACGCGGACAGCGTCAGGAGTGAAATCTAGTTTTTTCTATAATTATTTACGATATCTTCCATTTGAAATACAAACCAGGCAATATTACACATACAAAAGGGATACTTCGATGTACTGTAATGTTTCAATTTAGTGGTCATTTGATCAGGTCTAGGGATCACGGTCAATTGAAAAATTACGGCCATCAACCATCCTATTTGCTTTTAATTCAATACAACGCAGTGTATATTAAACCAGCTATTGTTTGCTACTTCGTCAGCGAGAAAAAAAAGTTACGGTGTTGTGTTATTATTTATGGAAAAATATTTTACACAAATAACATTTCTTTTCAAGTATGTACCCGTTTTTGGGTGCGATTGGGCGCGGTTGGGGGACCGCCCAGGGCTTGTCAGTGGCAGTGGCAACTCAACCAATTAACCCCACGAAAAATAATGTAAGCATTAAAAATAAAAGATTAACAACACATTAAATGTAACCATGTTACCCACTTTTTATTATATGGCGTATTAATTAATTACTAATTAGTGTATTGTTTACGTTCACATGTACCTCAATATACATATTTTTATTTTTAATTCACCACTGAATATATCATTATCAACTTGGAGAAACGATGGTCTAAAAAGGAGGCCTTGATTCCGCTGCTGATTAAAGATTTTTTTTTATTCAACGATTTTTTGGTCATTATTACGTGAAAATATTGTTTGTTTTCTTATGAAAAAGTAAACAAAGCGAGTCTATGTGTAAGTAATCAACGGTTTATCGCCTATTTTTATCGTCAATGTTGCTTGTATTACGAAATTGGAACGTTAACGCCTGCCAGTTATTGCACGTCGTAGTTACTGTTACTGAACCTCGGTTGCGATATAAAAGTTTCCTCTGATTAATCGACCACAGAGTATTTCCTGGTTAATGGAATTGTCTTGTTGGATGTTAAGGAAAGAAAGGAGATAGCAAATAAACAATATTTCCATAAAAATATAAACTGTACTTTCTTTACAATTATAACTCGAAAGGCTTGTTTTTTGTCTTTATTGTTGGTTTAAAATTTAATCATATATTGATGTAGTTATATCGTTATTTATGAATTAATGGTATTAAGTTAAGTCGTCTAATAACACAAACAAGTTGAAATGATGTTTCGGTAACAAGAAGAATGTCAATAGATGGCGCTGTAGCAAATTATAAATCGTTTTTTTTTTACAATTCATAGTTTCAAAAAACGTTTTATTTTTAACAATTTATCTTTGCCTAAATTATAAATTATTTGTTGAATTTAAAAATTGTCTCTTTTATATCCAAAAACTGCACGCGCATTTTGTTCTCAATCTGACAATGATAAGTCCCACCGACTTCCCACAATCCGTGCATAGTGTGCATACTGTATTTAAAATTTTGCCATTTATAAAATGCTTTAGGACATTTCTTTATTTCTTTGGCAAATAATATGATTGCTAACAATTGCCGACGGTCGTGCTTGTCCAGGCAAGCCTTTTCCGATTCATCGACCAGCTGCCTCCACGTCGCCGTCTTCGTTTTGTCTCAAGGTAAGGGATGCTAAGATAATCTTTTATTTTTAATAAAAAAAAATCTTTGGTCATTATCAATAGTACTTGATAGAGATCTATCGATATATATTTTAAAATGTATTTCGAGTATTAATTTAATTATTTTTGTAAGTTAATAATTTTTCATTACTTTTCTACTTTGCACTACATGCCAACAGATGGCGGTGAATGGAATTGCAGCACAATATTAACTTACAATTCGTTCTAGTAACACTTGGAACATGAATTTTTTAACCAAATTTCACGGACATCCGTTTACGCCTATAATGAATTTTTACTGTAGGAGTTCAACACTTTTTAAGTGTTTTGATTCCTCTATCTTCCTATTACAAGTTCTTGACGCGTATGCGTCTTAGGAGAAGAGAATCCAGCAAAGCACATTTTGATTGACATAGTTTTAACTTTATAGGTTACAAAGTTGGAGGCGATAGGCGATATTTTCACCACCATGATTTTTTTAATTATTTTTATTAAAAAAAAATAGATTTTTGTTATCAGTAAAAAATACTTTCCGGTACAATATTTGTAATAAAAACTTCATTCTTGTAATAAATGTAACAACTCTTAATTTTGTAATAAATATAAAAACTTGATTTTCGTAAAGTTTTTTATTTCAAATACTACCAAAAATAAATTATTGCATATAATTACAGTAATAAAATAGATCGAGCGTGTGAAAAAAGCATTAAATGTAGAATCTGACATGAATAGAGGGAATAAAAAATTTCCAAGTAACTCCTTATGACCATTAAAGGCTTAACTTGATTTCCTCTTGTTTTTGCAATTTACTGTTCCTATTTTCATTTGGTGTGCTGTGCTATTATACATTTTTGACTCGTTGCAGCACAGTTCAGTTTTACTAGTACACCAGGGATTTTGGATTCGTTAGTTTTTAGACATAACATTAACAAATAATGTAGTGACTGCCTGCTACGTTATTTCTAAGAGATGTCTTGTGCAGAGAAAGACAATATAATTCATTTTTATTACCATGTAAGATAACAATGTTTACTGTTACTGATTTATGTAAATTATTGCAATATTTACAAATGATATCATATCAGAATAATAAAACACTCATCTGGATAGAAAATACAATTTTAGTTTCAGAAACCTGTATACATTTTTGGTTACAAAAATATGAGCTTAGAAGTTCCTCTGTACGATTCTAAGGATTTCAAAAATATTCATGCTGTTATGTGCATAAATATTTTTGAAACCAGACCTAAAACATTTTGTAAATACAAGCAAGACTTGCAGTAATCAAGTGAAACATATTTATTACATTATTTCTAACTAAATACATTTGTCTGGAGAAAAAATAATGTAAATTGCAATTACAACTTAAATTATATATTAAATGTTAATTCACAAGATACAATAAAACTAATTTAAATAAGAAAAATGACATCAGATTCTCTATATAATTAAAACATCTATATAAAATTAATATATTCAGGACATAGGTTGAAGAAAAAACGTAAATATTAAGAGTATTTATTATTAAAATAATTTACAATGACAAATTTCTAACAGTGTTAAAAATTTTAAAATTGTTCTCAACTTCTCTGGTACTTAACAGGGAAACTACTAATAAATTAGGACTTAAAAATGCACTTTTTAATACTCTGACAATTCAAGCCGCTATCAACACCACAATCATACTGAAAAAAGAAAAACACTTTAAAATAACTTTGCATTAAAAAGTTAATTATTAAAAATCTCTGCTAGATTTGTTATTAGTGTTTACATCATATTATTATACTTATATTATTAATAGGAAAGTTTAAAAGGATGGATGTTTGTTAGATTTTGTAGCCTAAACTACTGAACAGATATTGATAAAATCTGGTATCAATGTAGACAATAGTCTTGAAGAACACACTATCTTTTTTTTTCCTTTAATTCTACGCAAAAATTATTTCTAATTCGTTAAGAATGTATGCAAATACAAGTTGAATAGTTAAAGGAACACCGCATTCTTCAGAATGCATATACCACAATAAAACTCCTTATGAAAACATTTATTGCCACAAATGTCATATATTTATTTAACTAATGCAGAGTGACATTAAATGTCTTAAACTTTTGCCTTGAAGATAATCATCATCACCAGCTCACTAAAAGTCCCCACCAAGGGGCTCGGAGCCTACCCTAAGTAAAGGGTAACTAAAGAAGACTTGAATATAATGAGTGATGGAAATTTGACTTTCGAGTAGTGGGCAACACGTAATCTATACTAATATTATAAAGAGGAAAGATTTGTATTTTGTATGTACTGAAATAACTCAAAAACTACTGGGGCAATTTCAAAAATTCTTTTACCTTTAGAAAGCTACATTATCAGTGACTAACATAGGTTACATTTTAATTTTTTTTAAATTTCATGTGGGCGACATCGCGAGCAATAGCATTGGTATAAACAGAATAATGATACTCACCCATACAAATAGAAAAAGAATGATAAAAGATAAAAAGCGAGTTTAATCCAGCCTTCTCTTTGACAAACAGTCAGCACATCTGCATTCATTATACTTGTCGGATCATACAAGCCTGGTCCAGACATTACTGGCCTTGTTCTATATCTGAAAATTATAATAAAAAAAGGTCAAAACCAGATAACATTAAAGGGACCGGCAATATCACACTTTTAGTTAACTAAAAATGTATTTCAATTACAAGGAATAACATTTATTTTCATTTCTAATGTTCTGTTAATCATTTTAAAGTAATCTTTGTAGTGACAAGAAACTATGTGACAGAATTAATTATTTTTTTGTCTCAAAAACACTTATTACACTAATATAATATATTATTGACTAAGTTTTCTACATAGGACACGTGTGCATGGAGTTTGTTCCTATTAATAATAAGAATTTAATTAAACAGGAATTACATGAAGTAACCTATCTCACCTGTGAATGTGATAAAGAATTAGTGGTACGTTGAGAAATAAGGAAAACCATTCTCCAGAAAGCAAGAATAATAAGTTAATTAACAGATGTAACAAATATTCAGGTAGCACCAACTGGAAAAGTACAAATTACACACATTAATATTATAATTCACACTATGCCGCCATAAAGATGTCGAGATTTTCATCAATTATACTAACAGGATTAAGACTATTGCACTGGTCTATTGGATTTTTATAATCAGTTTTTAATTCATCGAACGCTATAACGTGGAATATAGAGAAAAATATAAGAAAAGCGTCGACAATTAACGCTATAATATAAGAAAACGCTGGAAAACTAAACGCCATTTTGACAAAAACAAATGTGACAAAGAATGAAATAGTCAAAAATGTAAAGTGACAAGACTGTCAACTATCATCATAGATTATGTGGCAAATTCACGTGATTTTAGCCCACCAAGCAAAAAACAAAATAAACCACTTATGATGATACAAAGGATACATATAATAAATAGCAAATGTGTAAATGGTAGGAATACTGAATAGGTATGTATCGAATTGTTTTACAACAAAGGCAAGATTTCGAATGTGGGGAAACAAAAAAAGAACTTTTATACGGTATTCATTATTGTATCTATTTATTTTAAGATTGATGACCATTAGAGAAAATTATATTTTAATGTAATTGGGGTATACGTTTTGATAATACATAAAATAATGTTTCTTATATCCTTACACTTGGCTGAAAGTTCAAACTGTCATAACAATGTGAAGAAATGACAAATAAAAATCCTCCAAGTCATATGAATTTTGACGTATAACTCTGTTAAAATTAAAAGTTCTAATAAAGTTAAGTGTTTAAATTGGTTTGATACATCAGTAAAGTGTTCGTATTATAATAATTCCTAGGATTTTGGTGTTAAAAAACTATAATGTTATTTTGACTGATTTACGAATAAATTAATCAAAAATTACTAACTGTAATGTAAAGAAGAAAAGTAAAGTAATCAAAATAAGTGGTTACCTTAGATAACTATGAAAAGTGTGTGGTTTCTAGTTTTAAGTGCATTAGCTGTAGGATATTGTATTGAACATGATTTTAAGGGGTTTGATGATAGTATACTATTTGGAATAAATTGGCCTGGAGAGAAAGATGGGCTATATGAAACAATTGACAAGGCTAATAAGCCTAAGGTGAGTTATTTGATTGGTCACTTTGTTATACTTTGAACTTCACTTGAGAAGCTTGTCACTAACAACATAGGTTTCTTTAATCATTTCCAGGTTAAGGAAGTAATACAGGTGATGACATCAGAAAAAGAGAAATATGAGTGTCATTTGCCGGAAGTTCAGTCTAATGAGGCAATGGACATTGCTGAGTATGATGGGCCTTCACCGATCAGCTTATTAAACCCACTATTTACACAAAAAGTGTGCTCATTCAGATTGGATAGTTACTGGAGTTATGAAATATGCCATGGGAGGTACATCAAGCAGTACCATGAAGAAAGAGATGGTAAGTGAACTTAACTACAAATTTAGTATTTTAATAACACTGGTTTATATGATCTGATAAGAAATATAAAAATTCTCGCAATGTTGCATATAAATATGCAACTAATTAGCTTTGGCCCGTGACTTTGTCTGCATGTTATTAAAAAAGTAAGCCTCTGTGTTCCTTCAGACTATCCTATCTTTGCCAAATTTCATCTAGATCTGTTGAGCAGTTTAAGCTACAAACTCTAACCAACATCCATCCATCCAAATGTTCACATTAAAATATTAGAAAGAATTATGCTCATTAAAAAGTAATGTAATAAAGAAACTGATGGATCTTAGACCTAAAGCCAGGATTTTTGTTTTATTGATCTTAACCAAACCAAAAATAATTAAATCATGATTATTTAGACATTAAGATATAGTTTCTGCCTGTAACTGTGTCCTTACAGATTAAAAAACTCAGTAGCTAACATGTTTGAGATCCACAGAGCTGTTTTGTAGATTACATACTAATAATTCATTTAAACTTTTGAATTTATAATATTAGTACTTAAGAGTTACTATTACATCAAAATAGTGTATTATTAAAATGTTGAGACATGTAGTTGGAGATGTAAGCCTCCGATGAATTTTTGAATTATTGTTATCATTTGAAGAACTAATACATATTTGATTACAGTCTTAATTAGTTAAAATTATTTATATATTATTTTCAGGGAAAGAGGTAAGAACTCAAGAGTTCTATCTTGGTATATGGAGTTTAGAGAACCAAATGAAATTAGTGGCAGATTTGAAATTGGCTAAAGAAAACAAAGTCCCACTAAAAACTACTAAAGTTGAACGAATGGATTTACCCTGTGTTGAACTAGTAATGGATGGAGGTAATCTTTATTTTTATAATACATTAACTTAATAGTAGTCTATGGTATAACAGAAATCTACCAATGCAATAATCCAAATTTCTAAGCCCAGTAGCTTGTAAGCTGATTTTTAGGTTACCCTAATTGTTTATGTTCGCGATATCGTCTAAACTATTAGTCCAATTTAAATACTGTACAGGACCATTTTATTCTACATTAAATTCTCCTGAACCTAAGGCATGTCATAAGTGTATGGTTTTTTATTAAAGAAATATTATTCAAAAACATGCTGTGATTGCTGACATCCTATGCCACAAAGTAGTGTGTGTTTACACTTTATTTTATTAGTATAGTATAGATAACTAGTAGGTGTTCCTTTGATTTTTCATAATTATAAAGTGAATAATCTATTTTTATTTATTTCAGGTACATTATGTGATTTGAATGATAAACCTCGTATTACAAGAGTGTTATACGTATGTTATAGTCACGGAAAACATGAAGTGTACTCCTTCAAGGAGACGGCTACTTGTGAATATGAAATTATTATTTTATCCCCTCTTCTGTGTGAACATCCACAATTTAAACCTAAAGATGTCAGCGAGAATGAAATCAATTGTTACCCATTAATGGGTGCACCGAAAAAACCTGCAGATTTAATGAAAATGGAATTCGATGATATGAAATTCCGTTATGATACTCTGAAGATATCTAATAAAGTAAGTTTTTGTATTAATTAATTTTTTGTGTAGTTTTGGTTTTTCTAAAGTACTCCTAGGAAGGTCAATGCATGATCTTTTGATTGTTTTTAAGTAGTGCTCATTTAAAATTATTTGATTTTGTAAAAGTAACTTTACGATAAATAATTAGTTACGGTTTCTACATTTGTTAGTATTTAATAGTAAAAATGATGTAGTTGAGGTTTTTTTGAGATTCATTTGGCATTTTAGTGTAGTTGGGAGAATCTTTAATTTTTTTTTATTAATACCTAGTCAATTAATTTAATAGAACTTATTTTATTTATTTTAGAGATAGATTTTTTTGATGTAGTAATAAAATATCTGTCAAAAGTCGCAAAAAGTACAGAAATGGTTCAGAAAAAAAAAAGAAATTTTTTTTGATGCCATTAAATAGTGTATACTTAGCGTTATTTTAGTTTGTATCTTGCCTTTGGTTTGTTCTATTTTGTGTGTTTATGTTCTTGTAGTTTGTAGTTGCTTAAATAACATTTATATTGGCATGTTGTTCAGGATGAGGATTCTAAGGATATCGTTGCTGTCTTGAAAGTTGAGAAAATAGATAAGGTAATTTTTAGTGCATGGATTTTTTTACACATTTATATATAAATGTTATGTTAATTCGAACTAAGTTGGTATCGGTTTGTACCTCGTAATGTGACGTCAGCTAATAAGGAAACAGTTTTTTTGATGAGTAAGATATAGCCCTCATTTGGAGTTTCGTTTTTTTAACGCTCAGTGTTGGCGTTTTTATAACGCCTTCGCTACGAACGCTATAAAATTACTTTTGTTTCATTCGCCGAGCTTTGAAAATGCAATAAAAATTTGCGTTGCCATATTAATAGATTAAGGAAACGCATTTATTCCGATTGCATACAGTTTTATAGACAGATCAGAATAAGCCGTCGTATGTCGTCATGTATGAAATATTAATTGTTGCTCGCGACTTCTACCGCATAGAATAAAAAATTAATAAAAAAGTGTGGCCTATGTTATTCACAGATAAATTACCTTTATAATGGTGAAAGAATTTTGGAAATCGGCCCAGTAGTTCTTAAGTTATTTCAATACATACAAAAATTCAAAACTAATATCTCTTCTTTATAATACTAAGGGCCTGTCCCACTGGCTGATAGAGGCTCAGATAGCTTAAAAATGACGTCACTATCAGATAAAGTAACAAAATCCGATATTTCCATCATATTTTACATGATTATCAGACAATTTACAATTTGGTAGAACAGGCCAGGTATCATCATTATCATCATCACCAGCTCACTACACGTCCCCACCTAGGGGCTCGGAGCCTATCCTAAGTTAGGGTGACTAGGCCATAGTCAACCACGCTGCACTGCAGGTTGGTTGACTTCACACATATCTTTGAATTTCTTCGCCGACATGTGCAGGGTGCGGGTAAATTATGTACATATGAAAATTCGAAAAATCAAAAATCACATTGGTACAGCGGGATTCGAACCCAACACCTGTAGATTACAAGTCAAGTGTTTAAACCACTGAGCCATCGACGCTCTCTCTTATATAGATAGAGGCCAGGTATAGATAAAGTTTAAAGTAATTGATGTGTGGTGTACTTAGGGTGATTGTAATTGCGTAGGACGGGGAGACACACCTGAAGTTCGAGTTGCACCCTCTGAGCGAGGACGAGTTGAGCAGCGAGGGCAAGGCGGCGCACGAGGCGCAGGCGCAGGCGCAGGCGCAGCTGGCGGCGGACAGGCCCACCGTCATGGACGACTCGCCAGTCAGAGCTTTCCTTAACGGCGAGAATTGTTTGATAGGAGTAAGTTTTATTATGTTTAGTCCAATTAGCATTTTTGATGATAGGATTTTTTTTTTAATATTCGTATACTTTTGTTAATTGACTAATATTTCCTTTAATCTTTTAACCATTTCAAATAAGCTGTATCTTGGATATGGTTCACGACAATAGTCGTAGCGAGATTCGAACCCTCGACCACCAGATCAGTAGTCCGTACCCCAAACCATTAAGCTATTTGATTTCTGTTCTTATTTCTGTTTGTAATTATATCTTTAGTCATGAAACATTTTATTACTATTTTCTTTTTTGATATAAGAGAATTCACTAACATCAAGAACAAGAAGTCTATTTTCTTGGAATTTATATAAATATAGATGACCTCGAAAAGGTTATAACGCCCATTTAGTTATTTTACAAACCGCAAATTTGATATTAAATATGATTACAGGGTACAGGTTGGTGGAAATACGAGTTTTGTTACGGAGAACACGTGATTCAGTATCATGTAGACAGGACTGGAGAGAAAACAACTTTATTGCTCGGAAAATTCAACGAGGAGGCACATCTGGAGTGGATCAAAGAGAATAGAGGCAAAGCCCCTAAACCAGTTGGTATGTTTACCATTTACGTAATATTTTATGTATTATTCTCATTGGTAGGTTTTTTCTATCTGTTTTTAAATAATGAGTCATATTTTTAGTCGAGAATTTATAGTACAGTTTTTAGTAAAGCCTTTGATTAGAACGACCTATTACATTAATCAATTATATTGCATATTTGATATAACTAGAATTCTTTGGTATCCAGTATTTGATGATGATGAGTAACATTTAAAAAAATAACCAAATTTAAAAGCTTATGTTATTAAAAGTTTTGTCTAAGGTACGTTTTAGCCTGGGGTTCCCCAAGGATCACATCTAGGGCCATTATGTTTTATTTTCACTATACCTTTGTAATTTTTCAGATGTTCGCACTTCTGTTACACATTTCTATTCCGGGGGTGATGTTTGCGATAAAACCGACAAACCTAGACAGACTGAAGTGAAATTAAAATGTCTAGAAAATTCTTCCAGTCCGGCACAAGTGTCACTTTATCTTCTGGAGCCGAGAACATGTCACTACATACTTGGTGTGGAATCTCCCATTATATGTGACATATTGCCTTTTGCGGATGAAAATGGTCTCATAAAATCCACTAAGATTAAATCAGAAGAACCCAAAGTCAAAGAAACAAATAAAGTGTCTGAAGATAGTGATGTAAAGGATAAAGTTGTCGATAAGTTTGGTTATGATTAAATAATAAATTATTTTATTTGAATGTTTGTATTATTTCTTATAACCTAACCCATTTTATTGTAAAGCGTAGTTAAAAAGGAAGGGAATCTTCTTTTTATGCGATTTCTGTTAAATAAAGGCTGCTTTGTCGGATTCAGTTGGACGCTTGCTTGACTGCCACCTTTTAGTATAAAAAAAGCTGTCTAAAGTCAAATTATCTTTTTTTAAAGTCTATGTTTTTGTTAAAGATGATTTAAAAAATATGTAGAAGACAAGGCATTTCAACAAAAAATTTCGCCGGTACTTCCTCTGAAAGTACTATATCAAGCTTAGTAGGCCACATCTTGTCCTTGTATTGACATACAAAATTAGAATAAGCGCCATCTATTATAAAATAAAATAAACAATGTAAGTACAATTATTGTTTTTTGAACCTATAAAGTATGTGACGATTATGTCAATAATGTCGCAAGTGTCTATTGTGCCAACTCTATTTTATACATTTTTAAATCTCTGATCGGTATACAAATTGCAAAGTGATTAAAAAATACAATTTACATTTTTCACATAATTTTCACAAACTCTATTGGTAGATCCTCAAAGCTATTAATAGCATTTACTTTATTCGCCAATAGATGTCATTAAATGATATGTTACATATTTAAATGTTTTGTTCTATAACAATAGATGAAGCTTATTATTTTTTTTAAATGTTTAATTACATGTCAATACAAGGACACAAGGTGGCACTAAACTTGATAAATGATATTTTACCTTTCAGAGAAAGTACCAGTGAAAAAAGATTGTACACTTTGCCTAGTCTATTTCTTAAATGTCTGACAAATTCTAACTTAGCAAAACTTTCGTAAGACATTATACCATATTAATTTTAAAAACACGGCTTAACTAACGTAAGTATTCGATGCAGCCGTGTTCGTTTGCCAATGTTATCACGTGAGTTAAGCCGTGTCTTTATGAATTGTAGTCTGCTAGGGAAGGGTTCAAATAAAAATCACATTTTTAACTTGACATTTATTTACATTTATATCAACAAAAACGGGTGTTGTATAAAACAGTTCTTTCGTATTAATTTTTATTCCAATTGTATACCTACTAAATAAAGGTGCTTCGAAACAGTGTAAAAATAATTTTGCGTCTGTATTTAGGATATGCTGGTACCGTGACTCTATTAGTTTCCTTTGTATTTACTAGCTCACTAGCGCTCACAGATTAAAAAAATTAAAAGCAAACAGATAAAAAATCGAAGCTTATCTACATGCACTGTGTTTACGCATTTCAAAGGATGATCGATGTTTGTTAAAACAAAAATCAGCCTTATTTACTAAAACAGTAATTTTTTTACAAATAATGCAACATAATATTCAGGACCTAATATCCAAAAAATTAAAGATGTTTTGTAAAATACTGGTATTTTAAAACGATAAAATTTTCATTCTATTATTACAACGTAAAATACATTTTAAATTTCAAATATGTACAGAATAAAAAATCTCAAAATACAATTTTTGCAACATCGATCATCCTTTTATAGGAATGGTTTGACGTTTAACCGATTTTTTTTAGTGTTCCTTTTTCGAATTTGTCAAAAAGGTACCGTAGATATTAAGAAACGGTACATTTTCTTGTTGTCACTTTTAGCTTTTTTATGTTTTTAGACGCATTTCAATAGCCTTTAATTTAGCCTACCTAAACTAGTCTCTTACGGACAAAATATAAAAGAAATGATCTTTTTTTAGAAAAATTTTGAGCTTCACAAAATGTATCACATAGCATCATGTTTGCCAATTAATACTTCTCCAAATGAAGTGTTATTTTGAGGTATGTCCATATTAAAAAATACTTTATTGTTGTAACAGATTTTTAATTTTTTCCAATTGTATAAATAGTACAAATTAATATGGACATAACCGTTCTTTATTTTAAAATCTGTACGATGTAACCTTGAGTTTCCATTGTCATAACAGCACAAAAACATATTAAGGATCGTCCATTAATCACGAAATGCTCAAAAGCGGTTTTAAAAAACAAGAATCTTGAATGAGTTACATGTTTTATTTATTTCTGACGAAAGTGTATTTAATTATATTTTGAAAATTTCTACATCGGTTTATACAAAAAGTACATGTAATTTTGAGCATAGAAGGAGTGGTGGGGGTGTAAAAGTTGGTAAAAACGTGATTGATGGACGGCGCCTTATTATCACTCTTGTTTAGGACAATAAGAAAATTTACATTATGTTTTTATACACATGTTTTGGCAGTTGAAACTCAAAGTAAGGGAGTCTAATTCACAACAACAATGACGTTTCTAATTCGAGTTACCTACAAATCTTAGGTAAAAAATCTTTACTATACATTTTCTTCATCACACCTTAACAAATTGTTAGTGTGGTTGTGTCTAGGATCATTATCTGTCCGTATAATATTTATATTTGAATTACCATTTCTGAACGTAAAAAAACTTATTGGTTTTTTTAATCTACGATGTTATGTTGGTATCAATGGAGGCAAATAGCTTTCTTATAATAATGGTAATTCAATTATAGGTTATAAAATCCCAAGGAATCCCCTTTGAATTTGTTTCGTAAATGAAGACACCCACTGGACGCTTGTGAGGTAACAAAAGGAATTACAAGAAAATACATAAAACTGCTACACATCTAAGAAACGGAACTTATTCAGTCTAAATATTGTCTTTCATTAGACAAAAAAGTGACTAAGAATTAAATTAAAAATAAGCCCATTTCATAATACTCAACTAAATTTAATTAAGTTACAATAATGTTTATCTATGGTACTAAAAGACACAAAATAACTAGGTGTCTCTGTTATCGACAACGTTTTGCAAATAAAAATCTGTTTTTTTTTTTAGAATGGCAATATGCCAATGCACGTAAGATTTTATCTGTGTAAATCTATAGGTATTGCCTATAAAAATAAATAGAATAACACTTAACATTAAAGAAAACATGCAATACAAAATGTTCAAGTTGTCTGTCTGCAAGAGTCCTTACAAATTGTTCCTATAAAGATTTTTGTTAGGTCGATTAAATAAATAACGAACAGGGACAAATTACACTAAAAATAAAATACTTTTAATTTACACGGATCAAGTCAGTTTTTATATAATCTACAAACGATGTAATACAAGATTTGTAAACGTAAAACGGATTTTTTTTCAACCATCAAGAAAACTCACGAAGTAGCGTATTGAATACTTATGAATTACAAAGGATAATTAATTTAAAGAATGAATAACTTACATGCAAAATAGTCTATAACAAATACTTAATCTAAAAAAAATTTTGACTAAACTGCCAGTGATAGAAATGTAATTTTTTTTTACTGAAATACATTTTCTTTGTCCAATAGTTTAAAGCGCCATCTATGAATATGTTGTGGAAACTGTATTGGTCACGAAAAAGATCATTTTGTTTTAAAAGTCAACTGTTACATTTAATAAAATTTAAGTCAAGTGATTGTTCTTATTTTACGAAAAGTGTCATAAAAATACATTAAAATATTTAGGTAAATGACACTTTTTGTATGGGATTCAGGAAATATATGAAAAATATTTCTTATCATATTTGAAACTTAATAGATGATTTTTTTAACCTATTACAAAATAAACAAATACATTTAAATCCTAACAGACATAGTTAAGTACGCTACTGACAACATTCTGGTAAACAATAAATACACTGATCGCTTTGAGATCACCTTTAAATACCATCTAACAAATCATTAAAAAAAAATGAAGTGGAACAGAAAATGGCTTCTTTAACTATTTCTCATTTACATATATGGTAACACAAGATAATGAAAATTGAATATTCCGTTCGTATAAGTAAATAAATATAAAAAAAAACTAATCCAGTTAGTTCTTTGCAAAGCTTTGGGTGATAAAAATACGTCTCTTATTTTACAATATGACACTTTCTCTTTGACAGATTATTCAAAATCGCCTTCAAAAATAACATTAGTACCAGCTCTTTGGAGTTCGCAAATCGTTAATGTTTTTAAACGCATTACTTACGCTTAAAGTGACTAAAAAACTTATAATCTTTATAAAATAATTATTATATTAATAAATGAATTTGGGGAATACTTTGGAAACGATAAATCCTTTGACACAAACCTTAACCTTTATACTTATTAGATAACAACTGTGCACGTGGACTCACGTTTTCGAACGAAACGGACTTACGAGCTAGCGTCAGTTCGAGTGCACCGGATACATCACAACAAACGTTCAAAAACTTACAACCTCTTTGCATAGTTTATATTTTTTTTGTTATCTTCTTTTTATAAATTCACTAGGAACAAGTTCTGGAATATTTTAGTACGGTCGCGATAGTTCTTTAGAACGTTTCAATTGAACTTTAAGTCTCTTTGTACCTATTTGGAAGCCGTTCATGGCTTGTATGGCGGCCTGCGCGGAGGCGGCGTTGTCGTACGAAACGAACCCGAAGCACTTTGATAGGTTCGTCTGCTTGTCTATGAACACTTTGGCCGATATCACGTGTCCGAAAGGTAAGAACGTGGACGCCAGATCCGTGTCCGTGAACTCCTGTGGCAGGTGGTAGATGAACAGGTTGCCACCTTCCGGACCTGAGGTACATTAAGCATACATTTATTAGTACATACTATACATAAGTAGAACCCTACAATATTAAAAACCATACTAACAGCAGCAATAATAGCTCAAATGTGAAGGGAATAATGCTACAGGTTCATGTGCTCAACAACCGTATTAGTTGCAGAAGATTTATTAACTATTGGACATAGGTTAGGAAAGGGAAAAGACAGAAGGAATGGATGGGAAGTTGATTCTCCGCCACCTCACAACAGTAACTAATATTTTTAAAAGAATTCAAATCATAATCCGATCGAATTACGGTTGTTTCTCGAGTGTTTGTGAAGTCGGAGTTTGGACGGGGGCGGGGTGCGGGCGTCTTACCTTCGACTTGCTTACCGGCAGCGGCGGCGGCGGCCGAGCCGAGCACGGAGCCGAGAGGCGCGGCTGCGAACGCGGACCCGAACTGCGCTGCGTACGCCGAACTCAGCGGCTCAGCGGTGGACCCTGAGTAATAAAATTTACTTATAATAACTGAGCATATATAAGGCAAAGTAACCGCATAGCATTCCCTACTATTCGAGGATTTCCTTGGCATTTTGGTGGAATTACTTTTGTCCTAATAACAGGACACTGATATTTGTACAATATTGTTTCTATGTATGTTTATTTCGAATTCAGTAAGAAAAGGAAAACCGTGAAAATAGGACAAATCTAAGAGAAATGCTTTAAATTATTGTTTCAGTAATTTGATCGATTTTACATAAAAGTATATGGGTAGAGGTGGAGTTTCTACTTTGAATGTCTATTTAGAAGTTGTGTAGGTTTTTCGTTTTATACAATTATGAATTTACTTTGAGCTGCAATAATAGCACTGAAATACTGAGAGTACGCGTTTGATATAAAGATGGTCAGCATTTTCGTCGTCCCTAATTCAATGTATTTTTGGGCTTAATTTTGTTATTTAATTATTAATAGCTTATAATATATACACTAAAATACACATGCGTATCCTCATGTCTACCAGATTTATTAAATCTAATATACTCGTCCTCTAGTAAAAATCTACAATCTTATTTACAAAAATAAAGACAAATGAAAAGTCATTAAAACAAATGAAAGTTAAAAGAGAATGCGTCGAAAGCAAACCTATTTAAATATTCTCCACGACTCGCTTTCTAAGGAATTAATCGCAAATTGTGTATATTGAAAAAACAACAATCAACAATATAAGTCAACGTCACGCAAATCCGGGTAACTTTGTTTTATCAATTCTGTGCAAGAAATCTTTGCGTGATTTTAATACGAAAATAAGTAAAAGTTGTCGCTTGCGTAAGCCGAAAAGATTTGCCAACATTTCAACTAAAACGAAGTCCTCTTTTGTTTTGTTTACTTCATAACCTTAAATATATGCTACGTCATTAATTTAAAGAAACAAATAACTTAAATTATGTTATTGTTTTATTTGTTAATTAGTAAAACCTAAAAGTTGCTGAAAATATTTTACATATCAAAAATATTTAATTGTTAAACAAAAATATCGTAAACACAAAATTCAACGTAACCACAGAGTTAACAAGGAAAACAGATAATAAAAGTTTCAAACACACAAGTTTTTTCCTCAATTATTAATTTACATTAGCAACATCATGCACATATTAAACGTAGGCATTTGTTAATTATTTTAATAATTACTACGTCACTATTTTGTGTCTCGCTTTATTATTTTTAATATAACATAAATCATGCCAAACGGATTGCGATTAAGACGTACAAAACGTTATGTACAAAACAACAAAAAAACAAAACAACAAATCGAAATATTCACTGCATAAAAATAAAACTGTATCCACTAATTCTACTGCATTTAGCAAACAGTAAGTAAACACAAGTTAGTTAATTCAGAACGAAGTATGTTTGAAATACATTGACCTCGATCAAAGCCTAATGTCAAAGACCTAATCAAGCGATCGCCAACTCTACGTCATTGCAAACAGAAATCAAACCAAGCCTTATCAAGCCTACTAATGCAATAAATGACGGACATTTTATTTTAATTCAGAACTTAACAACACAAGCTTAATTAAAAACAGTGTTTAAATTTAAAAATTGGTTTATGGTCGTCATTTATTACAAAAGTGTGTAACCATAGACAAATCATTCCTGGTATAAATAGCAACACACGTTCGATTTCATTTTTGTTTACCTGTGATGTTAGTCTTCCCGAGAAGACCTGAAGTGTGAAAAAGTTTCATCGTTAATTATCAGGATTTTTTATTTCTCAATAACGTATTAAAGTCCAACCTGAAATAGGAAAGTTTGCGGACAAAAAGGATCAACATGGTTTTTCCCCTCTCACGGCTTAAGTTACATTTTGGGGTTGCTACATTCCAATTAGAGATTTGGACGGGTCTGGCAATTAGAGTGGAATTTATGGAGCTTAATTGTCTTCGTCGAGGGCGAATTTTAGAGAAGGGATAAGTGCGGAAAAAACGTCAATCTATCCGCCAGATTGATACTCATGTAGGGAAATAACCGAGCAAATTTCAGAGTTTTGATGATTTATTTTGAATTTACTCCAGAAACATTTTCATTGTTTATTAGAAAAGATTTTTCACGTAACGAATTCTAAAATTAACTCTCATATTCTTTAAAACCTTCTATGTTAGTGTGAATAATTTAGAATAAACATTACCAACTAGTCCATTTTTCGTAACTGGCAACACTAAATATAAAGGTATACTTACACAACTGCGGCGGCGCGGGTTGCGGCGCGGCGGCGGGCGCGATGGGCGCCGCTTGCGTTACCACAGGCTGCGTCATGGCGGCCAGCGCGGCCAGGTTTTGCACCGATACAGGCGCCAGAAGCCCGCCCAGCTGTTCGCCCACGCCACCTACGCCGCCTACACCACCAACTGTGCCCCCGCTCAGCCCTGCGCCATTGAAACCGATATCCTGATAGTTAACACCTACGAGGAACAGGATGGTAGCGTCAGCAAACAAAACAAAACAAGCGGCAACAAAAAATGAAAAGGTTTAAAATTATAAAAGACACAGATTGCATAAAATAAAGAAAATAAGAAGCAGATTCTGAACAAAAATCTACATCTATTTAATACTGACAGACTATAAATAAAATTTTAGCATGCACTACTAAGGACCATTATGTTTTTATTTTATTCACCATTTTTTTTTTCAATAGGACCCATAAAGAAATCTACTTACGCGAAATACCCAACAATTATACTAGAATTTAGAATTACTCCGTTGTACAATTTACCTACTGTACTGCGGCCCTAGTTGTCATTAGGGTTAATTATCCAGTAAGGGCAAATCGTTTAATTAGTCCCGCAGTGGCGTGGTCATGCTAATACCAGAATAAACTCTTTTATCGTTAAAATGCAGTATCATTGTGTATGATAAATATGTATATTTAAAAAGGAAAACTCTAAACGTGCTTGAACATGCAAATTAGAAATCCCCTAGATATCTAACTGCCTACTTATTTCTAAATTGAACGACATCTAGTTAAGAATTTTACATTTTTGTCTATTTGTAATTTTTTCAGATGCGTTGTTTACTCTTAATTAAAGGAGGAGACGCCTATAAAGAGGATATTTTCCCGTCCATGTAGAGATGCATACTCCTCCATCGTCAAATCCATTGCCCTTCCCATCCTTTCCGTATAAATGAGCTGGGAAAGGAAAGGAAATAAATTTGGCCTTACCTTGTAGCAATGTTGAGCCCTGCCCCTGCAACAATTGTTGCTGCAATCCAACCGCCTGCAGTTGCTGCAGCAGTTGTAGTTGCGTGGCGG